TATATATAATACTGCAACTTATTATTACCCAACGTTTGGCCATGTGAGCAAATAAAATCAATTTTCCGCGTACAGTAGATCAAATTCATGTATAGGGTATGTGATTGTAAAGTGATTATCTGACAGCTCGCCAACACTCCGACAGCAGCCAAGTTTATTGTTGGTTGGTCGTTGTGCTGGTAAACAAAAAAATCGCCCACGGAATGTCGCTGATCAATAATCCAGATGAAATAATTATATTTTTTAATTTCATGTTTTACCTCGTACAGTCAACTGACACTTGATTGAAGGTGTCTAGTTTACCGGGTTAATGGTGTACTGCATGGGTGGCTGGTTTATTGTTACACGTACCTATTTTATTTTTTAAATTCGTCCAAGACTTAGATCTGGTTTAGCTGACTTGGCTTATTTGTATTTGATATTTGAATCGACCGACTCAACGGCTCCCTCCGTTATACTCATCATATGTATTGACTTTGAGTCAAACGCCTACACTGTAACGTTGTAGCGCCGAGAAAAAGTTGTACGTCCCAATGACAAGAATCGAATGAAACGGTAACTGTTTTTCTCTTTGATAACATCTCGGCACACCTTTTTATTCCAATCATACAATTTTCATGAATAATGCATCACTTATCACTATTGACTTGTTTATTTTATATTCTGTTTGTCCGTGACTGTGCACTTTTACTCCCCCCCTAAGCATCCGTTTGATACATGATGATACGCCATATTATTGTCATTGTTGTCATTGTTATCGTCATTATCCCAGCCATTAACGAAGCATGAGGTGCAAGTTCCAACAAATAAAAAAACCCGTAATACATAGGTACCCGTATTTTTATATCAACCTTTGTGTTTCGTGTAAATTTATCCCATTCGATCTAAATTTCTTATGAATTATTCACCGCAAGGATTTATTTAATTCACTCTTCATTAGGAAGGCGACAGCCGGGCAAATATCGACCCGAATTATCCGATTCATCTCAAACGAGTAATCACACAGATCATTATTACTGCCGAGTTCCAGGGCCACCTGATCAAAACTCCTTGATTTCCCGAGTCGCTCGAACACAACATGTCTCGTACGACTGGAAAAAAAAAAAAAGGAATTTTATATTTTCGAGCTTAATTAACGAAAAAAGCTATACGAGTCTTACTACAACACAGCGCTCTCGATTCCGGTGAAAATCTCTCTCTGTCCGAATATATATACAGCTATACATATACGTAAGGGGGTGGGGAGTGATTTAATGGGGCAAAAGTACGGCAATGTCACACAGAGGTGTCACCCACAAATTTTTCACAACTTATAAAACCATCACGTGAAGCAGGCCATACATAGCGAGAAACCTGGGTGGCGCGAGGGAGAAAGTCTCGCCGAACAATGATAAATAATTTACATATGGCCACGGGCAGAGGTGTGTGGGTCCTCGGGCTCTGCCGGTACACCTATAGGCCTTGAGGCTGTAGAAAGTTACGTAGGTATACATCGCGTAGTGTATCGTAGAAACGGTCTCGAGGAGCTTTCCCAAGCTGGTGTACAGCTCTGTGCGGGGAGACGCGCGGAGGAATGAAAGGGAGGCCGCTCTTGCGAGAGAAATAAAGGGGAGACGAGAAAAGGCAGTGGCTTGCCTAATCATCGTTATTATTCTTCCCCACCCCCCCCCTCTCTCGCTTGCTTATCCGTACTCGGCATTCAAAAGCCCTTCCAGGCGTACAAACGTCGCGCCGGCCTCATTATCCTATTGAGCTCGTGTAAGACGTCGAGAGAGACCAGGAGGGAGTCATCGTCATCCTCGTATACTTATCTCGTGCGTATACCGCAATACGACCGAAGGTGCAAGTGTGCACGCACACACACATGCGACATACGTATTGTGCGTCCTATAGGGACGCACGGATTAAATCACGCAGCTCGAGGCACATCGCGTATCGTGTGCATGGATTACTTTTCGTTACACTATAGTCACTTTTTTATTTTTTTCTTGGGGGGACCCATTTGAAAAGCCTCTTTGGCTGTGTTAAATTAACTTTTATTAACTCGATTTATATATAAAATTAAATAAAAATTTTATCCGATCCTAGCCACGAAAGTACCTATACCTGTATAGTTTTAACTGCTGTTTTGATGAATTTATGTAACGTTTTAGCAAAACGAATAAACTGTTTTTCATACGACTCTAACTCTTTCGTACCTAATTAGCTGCAATAGCGGGGGGGGGGGGGTGAATTAATTTTCGAAAAGCCGAGACAAATGAGCAAGCGAAAAAAAAAATTTTTTTTTTTTAAAATGAATTCTCGATCTGATTGCAGGCAGAAACCGAGCGGAAAGGGCGAGGACAGCACGGCGGTGCAGCAGAAAAGGTGGCAGCAGAGGCCGGGGTTGGTTCTGCTGTTGCTGATGCTGCTCTGGCTACCAACGTCGACGACGGGCGGTGGGGCGACCGACACCGCCGGGGACTTTACGACGCTGAGGTCCGCGACGACGACCGAGATGCTGTACCAGCGCTTCGCCATCGAGCCCATGGACCAGTCGGCGGTCATCGGGACGAAGGTGACCCTACCCTGCCGAGTCCTCAACCAGAAGGGCCCGATCCAGTGGACCAAGGACGACTTTGGCCTCGGCGCTATGAGAAATCTCACCGGCTACGAGCGCTACGCCATGATCGGCAGCGACGAGGAGGGTGAGTACACCGCACCTATTTTTTTCAATCTTGCTATTCGCTACATTCGCCATTTTGAACTTTCAAAGCTATGTGTACAAAATTTCCCGTCGACCATTGTGTGGTTGCGCGTAAGTGTGGATGATGATGGCGGGCACTGGACACGTGCATTATACCGAAAGAAAAGAAAGGCCGGGTAGCGGCAAATTCTCCCGCGAGATAGGAGGTGGGGAAAGGACGGTGATAAAACAGATTTCCAATAACTCGTCCGTCCGCTCGTTGCAAGAAGCTGGAGGATGAAACATTTATCTTGCGATTACAGCAATCTACCTCGATCTCTTTCCCTCTCCTCCCCGAGCTTTTCCACTGCTGATGGCTCCCTTCCTCGTCCCTTTTCGACCAATTTCCAACCGCGTCACGATCCCGCAAGCTGTCTTTTCATCGTCTCGCGGTATCACTATCAGAGCCCCCCCCCCCCCCGTCTCCGTGCAAGTCTCATTTCCATTATTTTACTTTTATGGCTTCTATGAGGACTTTTTTAATCGGCGCTCGACGTTTACGAGGCTGTTTCGGGGATATTGTGCTTTCCTGACTCGATTACGTTGTATTACGGGAGACGCGGGCGTTGCCTTTCATTCAAGCTCTCTCTCTCTCTCCTTGAGCTAGCCGCGCGTAATCATCCACTCTGCTGGTCGTTTATATGCGTGTACCAATATCGTATAGCGTCGAGCCGCGCGTGGGCCGAAAGATCAAGTCCCTCCGACGAATGAATCAAATCATTGTTATGTATATACGGGCTGGCAATAACAACCGAGAGAAAAGAGGCACTTCCCCGAATTCGTGGCGTTGCGTCCTGACGTTAAAAATTCACGCTCGGCTGGTCTCATTGACACTTTTTCTCGGCACTCCAATTAAGACGGCGTTTTGGCGACGATAACGTATCCGTGTTTACTTCTTTAATTTTCCGCCCCTCGCTCCTTCCGCCGAGATTCCAGATGCAGGGTTTAATTAAGTTAATTAATATTATCACGAGCACCGACGGAGTCAAGATCCGCGAACGACATGGTCTATTGTCATATATATTTGATATATTGCTCGCTAAGCAGTTAATGGTATACATTTATATTTTCCCTTTGGTCTCTCGTCCGTGAGTTTATATCTTCATTGCCGGTCTGTGATACGCTTTGCAAATTATTGCCAAATGCTGTTTGTTCGTGCAAAATAATTGTATAACGAGCTGCGTTATTGCATTTAGTCTCGACGTCCGAGCGCCTCGCAACGAAACGAAGCGAGGAGTAGGAAAAAGCAAGCGCTCAACAAAAATAATGGCACGGGAGCTCTCCCGAGTCTCGCGTCACCGATGAATGGTACCCTATACATGTATAGGCACAGCGGGTCTTTGTCTCGCTCGTGTTCTCTTCAATTCGAAATCAGGGAGAGAGGGGGAGCCCCCTCGAGTGCTTGAATGGCATACACGAGCTCCGAAGCTGCTTGGCCGGAGAACGTAATACAGATGTATGGGCACAGAGCCAGCAGGGGGGACACCCACAGTCCGAGGCATCGCGCAGCGGGCTGATCAATTAACCGTGCGGTAACTAGTGTTTCCGCCCGTGCGGCTACCGATACCTAAATATCGGATGGCGATAAGGTTGGATGATGGAAGATGAAAAAGTCCGATGTACCACATTGGCTCGAATTTCTACCTTGGCGTGGTTTTCACCTCAACGATAAATTAATGACACATGCCACGCACAATCGTGGAGTGATCGTTTTATAATGGCTCCGTTTTCGTTACCGCCAGGGGCCAGCTCCTCGTAAGATCCATTTAGAGTCGCTTCGGAAGAAAATTCCCACGTACGGGAATTGGTGTAACTTGAGCTACGCGGAGAGCCTTCGTATTCCCTGCTCTTTGACGATTGGCTTCTGTGTGTGCGTGTTACATTGCTACTTCGGATGATTTTGGGAAGAACCAGATCGGTCTTCGTCGCTCGGCTAACTTTGTCAGTTTGTAAACTTAACGAGCCTACGTGCACGGTGCTTCCTGCAGCTCGTTTCCACTTGTACCGTTGTCGGGATTGCCTTGTCTCGATTTCATCAAAGGCCTCTTTTCCGCTGTTTCTCTTCTTTCGATTGGTTTGATATTGTGCTGCTAACACATCGTACGCGTATACTGTTCCATTGCCCGCAGTGACAATAGATTTCACAATAATTACCTGTTTGAAGAAGCGCAAAACGCGAAGATAAAGAACTATAAATTTCTAAAAATGACGAAGAACTGTGTAGGCTTTGGACTGCGTCCAACTATAATTCATGGGGCATTAGCTTTAAACTATAAATTAAAGTGGCTCTCCCAAGGCCTTCTCTCTCTCTTTTTTTTTTTTTTTTTTTTTTTTTTTTTTTTTTTATTTCTAACGCGTATTCTCTGCGCCACACAATAAAGGCTTCTATAGCTTTGGTGAAATAAGATGTAATGGCGTATGAGGATAAAAACGTCTCGTGCAAAAGTAATTTCTAAATTTTTTTTCCAAATAAACCTCGTAAATTCAGTCGTATCTGGCTTTTTGACAACAAAGACAATTATTACCTTTGTTTCATGTACCTATTTGTTTTTTTTTTTTTTTTTATCTATACGACAACCCGTGGTGTTTAGCAATATCAAACGTTAAAAATTGATCTACAATCAGTTTCTTCGGTAAAATTGTTGCGAACCAACGAGTGGCACAGAAAAACCATCGAAACATTGACCTACAGATGAACATACCAGGAGGTTAATACGAAGGGAAGCACAGTCGCGCGCTACATGCACATGGTGGTACAGCGTCATGGCCGGGCGGCTAAACCGATACTAATTTTACAAGCGATGCGCACGGCTAGCGACATTTAGGACGGACAGGGGTGGCTCCGATCGACGTCGCATCTTGAACAATATACCGTGGTGCGCTCGATAAACGACATAGGTACATGTATAATATAATTACGCCAAGGCTTGGTATACGGTCGGTACACCCCCTTCACTTTTTAATCCGCATTGTCTTCTCAGCGCTTATTTGTTCCGCTTTACATTACCTAGTCAAAAGCAAATCAGCAGCTCGCGCGTTGTGTACCTACCTATATACGTATCAGCCGCAGCAGCTGCAGCCGGGGAAGGGGAGTTACGAGTTCGGGGGATGTTTGTCGCAGTGTTCCCCTGTTAGGATTACTTGGGTGCTACTTTGATTTCGGGTGAAGATGAGCTCGGAGTTGGGAAGCAAGCGCTCGGGGCGCGCCGTCTGCGGTGCCTCATCCCGCTCCCCCGCGAAACTTTTCGCAATCGAAAAGATACACAATTTACCAAACATGAGACTTTGATGCGGAGACGCGCAACCAGCCCAACTTATTGCACTTCATAACCGTAATATCTCTAACGTGCGTCTCTTATTTTTCCCGACGAGACGCCGCTTACGTGACGCGTGCTCGTGATGCCAATTACAGCGAAAAGCTTTCTCGCTGATGAAAATTGTATCAATAAATATTTCGACTGTACAACTGTTGAGCTAGACTTTGGAAGTGATGACAAACCAAGCCGCCGAGCTGTACGTGCACGTAGATTATTATTCGATTATTGTACCACCGCAGTATAGAAGGGAATAAGCCATTGGTTCCCTGCATGCGACAGTCAGTGAAGGTGGATACAACAGAGAGGGGTGTGATTATACATACATAGCAGCAGTAAGATGAGTTACGGATATAATGTAGACTCACTGTACCTATAGTCGAGATGAGCCCCGCGCATATGAACAGACTGCAGACAAGGTGGGGTGGCGTCGCTGACGTGACGTGTAGCTTATTAAAGCTCCATCGCTCCAGCCACCATCGCCACTGCTGCTATACTGTGACCTCCATCATTGTCGTTGTTGTTGTTGTTGTTGTTGTTGCTGTTATTCTGCAGCATTGTCTCGAGATGAGGAGGAATCGGAGAGATAGGTACAACGGATGCTGGACGTTTCAACGATGAGTAGCGCAACGGGTTGGTTTATCTTCTTCTTTTTTTCCCATCTCCGTGAATGCGGGAATCCCTGCAAGCCCTGACGGGCAATGCTCGGTCCAATTCGTTTGTTTGCAATTTCTCGGATTGACGGTGATTCGCATTGTTCGGTCGTCCATTGCGTCGCGATCTCGGTTGTTCGCCTCCTTGCTTGCCCGGTCTGCAGGGATGGAGGAGGAAAAAATGCCCCGCACGATCGACAGATTGCCAAAGCATCGATCCCCGGTCACGGTGACCTGATACATTTTTTTTTCCACTTCGTACAAGCTGTGCTACTTACGTGTCGTTGCTAAAATCGTCGACTATACTATAATTGAATGTTTTAGTACCTGTTCGCAAAGTGTCGCCGAATCGGGGGGGGGGGGGGGGTCGAGGACTTGGGCCCGAAATGCATGGCCCGAAAATGAAAGTCGGAACTGTTACGCAAGTAGTTGGCAGTTTGTTAGCGCGCGGCTCCGTACTTACGCATTCATCCTCTTTGCTCTTCGGGGTCTCTCTCTTATCGAGTAAGCTCTGCATACGCGCAAGAAAAGTTATACGAGAAACCTCGCCGTCGATGGCAAGAAAAGTGCTGGGGTGGAGGGGCAGAGGGAGTGTCTTTTAAGTACTCGTATAAGCCATTTTCTCGGGACAGTGACTTCAGCGCTGCTGTAAGAGATATTCGAGTGCTCAACTCTACACTCGCGCTTCGCCTCTGTTGTACTGGTATAGTGTATAGGTATACACATAATATATACACGTGTGTGTGTGTGTGTGTGTGTTGCGTAGATGCGTTTCGCAAGCGACCTGCACGGGTGTAGTGCACAAACCTCATCACCGCTTCAGCTGGCCTATACCAGTGATGTATATATGTATGTATGTATGTGCACAGGCGTGGGAGCCAGAGCCCATTTATACAAGGGGTTGTTGGCTGTCGAAGCTTTGACCGATAAGTCGATTAAGCAAATTGCCAATTAATACTTTGATTTAATAAAAGACCCGCTGCTGCTGCTATTCTCGACTCGTCATCGATTTTTAGATGCTGCACCGCCTAACGTGCCATTATAATTCGCTACGCTCAATATGAATACATTTTAAGCGAGTCCAAAACATATTGTTGCTATTACTTTTCATTATTATTGTTACAATTATCCACAATAATGTTGTATTCGAACATATTGCAATTAATAATGGTTAATTACTCGTTGTAGAGAAAATAATTAATAAGTTAATAATTTCATCCTCCTTCTTTATTCTTATTTGCATCTACTTTCAATAGATTCATAGAGGCATTACATTTCAAATGAGATTGGATTCATGTGCGAAATAGCATACGTTTCTGTATAACAGGCACTGCTGTTTATTTAAAAAAAAAATGCTTTTTTTTTTTTTTTTTTTTTTCATACGTGCAAGTTATAATTAACACTTTTTCTAAAGTTATAATTTCTTTTTTTTTTTTTTTTTTACAACAAAGCGGATAGAATACAATTGTTTCAAAAGTCGATATGCACAGCAAAAAAAATTAGCTGTTTTTTTTTTCAAAGCTTAAGGTACTTGTTTTTTTTTTTTCTCTGTTTAATGAAACCTTTTTGATTGTAATCCATTACGCTCAAGCATGAACACCACGTTTGAGCTTAATTGGATGTAAATTAATTCAGTACGCAGGTTCATGCAGGTCTACATGGTGTGAACATTTTAGATCCTACTCATTGTTAACTAAGAATAGATATTTCGCTCACCTTGTGGTTAAAAAAAAAAATTTCAAAGAAATAACCTTTGAAGATCTGCTGGTTAAAGCTCTACCTAATTATTAAAGTTTAAGGAGTCAACGTCAACATTTGAATAATATGCCCCGAAGGCCGGAATAACCGATTCCTCGACTTTCATTATAAGATCGCGATCAAGTCTCAATGACATCAAGCTTGGATTGCAAAAAGAAAAAAGAAATGCATCCGAAAAAAGTCCTTTGTCCCGTTTGTTCGCTCGATCTTTAGATACGGTTCACCGGACTTTTCCAACGAGGTTAATGACGGATCCTCTGAAAGGCAAAAGGAAACTTGAAAATGAAAACGAAAAGGAAGAAAAATCCGGTCAACCGCCACAAGAAAATCGATCGGCGCCGTCGAGACTCCGAAACTTAATCAAGCTGGGATAATATTGCCACTCGGCAGCCGAACTACTTTTCCCGTGGATACTCGTCCACCCGCGCCGTTTCTTTACCATCGTCATTTAACTTTGGCAACGAACGGGCACTTGAAAGTGCGACACACCTAAGTGTATAGATGTATCGGTGGATTGCGGTACGGCCATGCACGTACGGTCGACCGGGTGAAGAGCTAGCACGGGTCCCATTACTGGCTGCTCCTCTGCGCAACGACCGCATGTCCCGCGCGGTATTTTCGAAATACATTGGACGCACACAGATACACTTGCACGTCGGTGGGAGGGAAGAAAGCATTTCTACCGCCAAGACCAACTTCACGGGTTGGGTCGTCGCGCATATACATATAGGAGGGGCCATTCCGATCGAAGGCGAAGCTCGTTCGCGTTGCCGGGAGCAGCGGCAGTTCACGGAGATTTACACCCGACGGACCGTCCTTTCGAACTTTGTCGACCCCCCAGAATCTGTGCGCACCACATTAGCCGTCTCGGACGTCTTTCGTTGTTGCTTTACCTATACACATATAGGGAGCACCGTCTCTTTCGACCATAGAGGATCACGCAAATCCAAGGCGAATTTTCGCTCTGCTGTCCAAATTCTGCAAACTTTGTCACTTGGATATCCCGTGCCTTTGGATGACGACTCCATGTTTTGACGTTTGAGGCGACTTGAAAATATATGTATATTTCTTCTCCTTCGCCGTGGTTTGTTGTTATTCTGATGGAGCTGACTTATAAGTACTACACCTATACCTATTGGAATAGCACGTGATTATCCGAGGGGCTGCGCCCTCCCAAAGTCATTGTATATAAACACCACTTACAAAAGTCGTCTCGACAAGGCTTATTTGCATCACCGCAGCTCCTCAAATCTGTTGTAGGTATTTATCTGCATGTACACAACCACGTGTACCGTTCCAATGTGAAAGCTCTGTAAAGTAGACGAGTGAGTTTTATATCCATTAACACTGAACGATAAAGAGATAAATAAGCAGTTTCTCTAATAAAAAAGTACAAGATTCATCATTCGGAGCATTTTTTAAAATTTTTTTACATTGCGAAAAGAAGTGTCCCCCCCCAGAAGTGTGTGGGGTAATTTGGTGATGCGTAACAATACATGATCGTATGAAGAAAATGGCATAGGTAAGCAAGTATGTATATGTATAGTAAAAAAAAGAAGCTGACACGCGCGTCTGAGATCTCGGGGCCGAGGCAAGAGCACATATCCAATAATGTCAAATGATTCCACTTGTCTTGCTCTATACACCTACCTGCTCCTTGACACGTTTCGTACCCGATGAACTCAATTACTGTCAAAAGGCGTAAACATAATAATACCTGGTACATTTTACCTATTTTCACTGCTCTCGACCTGCTCAGCTTTGTTCCAGCTGATTTGATAGCCTCGAATACGTGAAATAAGAAATACACCAATTGTATGTACTTTAGAGAGAGAAGAAAAAAGCAAATTTGAATAATTTACCAAATTTGCTCTAAGTTGACAATTTTATGTGTGTAGTTTCCAGCAAGTATATGGATGTTTTTTGTGTGTCGGTTGCAGGTGACTTCTCGCTGCGGATACACCCGGTCGAGCTCGAGGACGACGGGGTGTACCAGTGCCAGGCCTCGCCAACGAACGACGGCCAGCCGGGGCTGCGCTCTCGCTTCGCCAAGCTGAGCGTCCTGGTACCGCCGCAGAAGCCGACGATACTCCAGGGTGCCTTTTTGAGTACCATCGAGGACAGAAAGCTCGTTCTCGAGTGCGTCAGCCAGGCCGGCAAACCCCCCGCCGAGGTAAGTCCCCGTTCCTTGCTTACATGCGTGCACATCTATACCACTCTCACGCAAATCGTTTCCTTAACATTGAAAAATGCATCCTTTTAAATACAAACTACCATACCATGTGTGGCTTCTATTTTTTAAGTCGATGCTCTCGTTGAATTGTATTGATTTTGAGTTTGACAAAGGTACACAATATTACCATCTTGCATGTACTTTTCCCCTTGACATCTGCCACGAAGTAAATTTTTCCTGTATTCATAGCTTGCAGTGTATCGTAAAAGAAGTGTACGCTAATGAAGTATAGTAGAAAATTTGGCTCTCGATTCACAGGCGCATTTTGAACTGCCCGAGAGACTTTTTATTTTATTATCAGGCTATCCGAACGGGTAACCTGATATTCCAGTTTCAATAGAATACAATACACGTGTATGCCCATACAATATTAGTGGTACCGAACAATCGCCCCCCCCCCCCCTCGTGACATACGTGCCCTTTGCACATTGAAGTATTATTTGCCATACAATCGTATTACCATACGAAAAGCAACATTAATTTTTCCCTTTGATGCCCATTCAGTCTATTTAAATACACCGAAATAAATATGATTAATGGAATTTTTAATTTTATAAGCAACAGTTCAATTAAAATGTATTAGTATCACACGAGACATCAGTACTTCAGCTTTACACAAAATCAGAAATCATAATGGCAAAACATCCGATAATGCAAAAGTCGATGCCTAATCCTGAGGTGTTTTCACGCGTGAACGTACAATATAATCATTTACAGATCTGAGTGACGTGTGACGTAGTTATAGTGAAAAAAAAAAAAAAAAAAAACAAAAGTTATTCAGAATCGAGGTTAATCCTTTTGGTAATCAACACCTATACGTGTAGGAAGGGATCGGTCGTGCTGGGGGGGGGGGCGTAAGTGTGACTTGTGATACATCGGGGGTAATTAAATCCCGAGTTGAGCCCCGCGATCGAAAAAAATGTCTGTCATTAGTTGGCTGCCGTCCCTCTCTTTGCGTGTGCACGATCAGGTACAGCTTTAGATTAACGTTCGTGAGCACACTCGGTATTACGTGTGTTGCACCCGGTAGTTCATCCGATTGGGTGGGCAAAAGGCCCAAGAAAAAAGCGAATTAACGATTGGAATATTATTTGCAGCGCGCGGTGTCGCGTATTGGTACAATAAAATGCATGAATATCGATTTTCGCGGGTGCCCGCGTGCGGCTGCTGTTACTGATTTTCAATGATCGTCATCTCTGCCCGGGCTTTTTCCTCGATTACGCGGCTTAGCGATTCGATGAATTTTAATCCAATAAATTCGCCCCGATGGAAGACGACGGAGACGCAAAATTTCCCCTGCCCTCTGTATAATATATGTATACTTGCGACTTGAGCTCACTGCAAGAGGATTTTTCGAAATTAAATTCCCCTTTTCAATACTCGTTTACGCGATGGAAGTTCAGTTTCCGAGAATATCGAAGTCTTGGGATAGTAACTCGTGAGTAATTCAAGCTCGGTTGTGCAGTCCAAACTCCCTCAGTGCACATTAAACATTGAGAGAGCCCTTCACTCCGACATCCGATGGATATTAATTGAACATTATTGGGGATGGAAGTTTCGATCTTCGGCCCGACATTGTGAACCGAACACGGATGATATGGCGATGTCGTCGATAATAACAGACGTTGTGTGGGTGCATAGTAGGTATATACTTTTAATCCACAAAGGATGCCAAGAAATTTGGCGAGCGAGCAAATGACATGGTACTATTGGTCTACCTACCTCAGAACGCGCGGGAAATAATAGCTCGTTGCTCTTGTACATGTGTATTGTACGTAATATAGCCAGGGTCATTGTTGACATTATTGTGCGTCCAAAAAGAAGCTTCTAATATAAATATACAATATTTAGGCTCCCTCGCTGCAAACATTTGGATCTTCAGTTGACTCATTTTTTACCATAGAATTTAGTATTCCTCGCTCGAAATTCCTCAGTTTAAGTTAACGCGACGGTCCACGCTACCGTGAGCATACTTAATACCTGCAAGCTGAACATAATATGGCACGGGCACCGGATTCCGACCCACCAGCTCTATACCGATCGCGGTCCGTAGAGCTCCACGATTGTAACTATAGGGTACGCTGGACCATATGGCGATGGCAACTTTGCAAACGGAGGAGTTGTCCGTTGGTGAATTAATTACGCATCCATCGATGGCACTTGGAACAAGCGACGCGTTTTCTTGTGTACCGTCTTGGCGTTGAAACATTTTTCCTAACGGCAAGTGCTGCAGTGCCGTCCGTCTCGGCGCACTGTTTTTCCTTCTGTCTCCTCTCGGCGTATGAGAGGTTCTTGTGCGTTTTCCTCCATTCTCGCATGAGGTGCACTTGCTTTGAGCGCCCCGAGGGCCACTATACGCGAACCAGGTAGCAGCGCATCCACCGACGACGATGACGTAAGAACGAGACTGCGCCGGTGTGTGATGCAGCATTTAAATCTCAGGGTCGTTAGACGAGGCGCGCCCGCATGTGTTGGTGCACGGCCCCTCGAGCTAGAGAACTCCGTTTTCCTACGTAGTCCAAATACAATTAGACCGTATAATGACAAAGTGCCTGTTCCCTTCCAACTGCTCGCGACTACGTATACCTACTTCTTCTCCTTTTCTCCTCTCGCTGCACTTGTACAACACACACGCCGCTACTTCGTGTCTGCGCTACACTATATCTGCTGATTGCTATACCTCGTATACTACATAGTCATACACGCGTCTTTGTGTAATTAGGCAAGTGTTTGCACTGGCGGGGCAACAACTGATGTACAGGAGGTACACCTGCTGACTCATTGCCTCGTGTACGTGTGCACTTATATAGCAACTACCCAACTACTCTCCCGTATACTTATCTCTTTTCTCGTTTTCCTTCTTCTTCTTCTGCTCTTTTTTATTTGTTCTCTTACAATCTTATACTTACTGCTCACTTGTATCTGTACTTTTGCCATAAAAGCACGGTAGGTACTTACGTAGCCTATCTCTTGCCCCTCATTATTCATACTTTCCTAATTATTTCTTGCTGTTTCTTTTTTTTTCCTTCCTACTACTCTGTCCGGCTCAAATCGTTTGCAACTGCAACGTACACTTGTACATACACGTACGTCTCTTTGTCTTCGTTCACTTGACTGGCGCATATTTATTATGCAAATGTTCAATACTGCAGTCCCTTTTACCATTTTTCTTTTTGCCATCTATCATTTTTTTTTTTTTTTTTTTTCTCCCATTATACGTTTGACGCTGTACATGCGTGTTTTTCGTCTCATTAAGTATAGAACAGGTATATGTGTCAGTATGGGTATTATAATCAGAACAAAACTCTTTGAATTCCATTGAGAGTAGATGGTCGAGTGCACGCCATTTCGAGTCAAAACGAGGGCACGGATTAAATTGATCCTTTTTTTGTCTACTCGTACATGGGTATATTTTACACGTGTAGGTAGTTGTAATAATATTCATGTACGGTTGCACGTTTTTCTGTGGTCGGCGCGGGTTAATGTATAACCTACGTGATTCAACGAGACATTGTGCAATGACTGATTGCTTTCGAGAGGCGTAAAAAAATATCCCGTCCAGTTCGTGGTTGCTTTTGCACGTATGCACGCGATAGGTGCGTAGAGTTGTTTTTACCAAATGCGCGTAACGATCTTTCGAAGAGAGATCGTCGTCACTGACTAGTAAAACTAAAAAAAAAGAAAAAAAAAAAAAAAAAAAGTAATCGTCAACGAGCCATTGGCCGCGGCCCGTACATGTATGAGCCACTGTAATTCCCCGGTTATTCCGGTGCTGGGACGAGGTCGATATATCCGAACGGAGCAATTAAAAAATCCCCGGAAAAGTACGTGCTGCAGGATCAATCCGTCCCGTGGTACAATAGCGCACTCGGCTGAGCTCGCTTAACAGGTTCGCGGAGTCGTGTTCAAAGGAAAACTCGAGATATGACGACGACGACGGTGAGAGCGGCAGGGGAGGAGGGCCACCGTGGTAACGAGGAGGGGGGTGGGGTGGGGTTAGGCTGAGCTTTTCCACTTGTTCGGCGGAGCCGCGCGAGCGAAGAAATGGCTCCGGAGCCCCGGTATCTTTTGCACTTAATTACGATGCAATTAAGCGCAATTGCTTCGAGTTAGCGGCGCCCGCGACGAAATTTCCACTGAGAGAGAGAGAGCAGTCTTGGCTCTACAGTGGGGGGGGGGAGGGGGACAGATGGGCCACACGGTATACAGAGCGGAGGACTCTCGTCGAGAAAGAATTAAACGTTCTCGTGTTCGCCGGGGCTTCACTCCCTCAATTAAATTAATCCTTCGCCGTACCGGACAATTTCCTTACGCGAGCTCTCTCGCCTCTCGAGCGCCCCATTCAACTCGTTGTTCCCTGTCACCCTTCCCCCCCCCCTCCGGCCCCATTCAGGATTTCTTCATCCGATTTCATCGCTATTACGTCATTTTCTATTCTTTCGGCCATTCATCGACTTCATTTGCAAATTGTACCACTCCATACCTACCGGGGGATAGGATAGTTGTCGCAAATTCCATTTTAATCAACCTTTCACGTAATTACGTTGGTTGGATGGGTCCCGATCACAAATACCTAGCTTTACTATTTCCAGTTCCATTGTTAACAATTCAAAAAGTCCCGAGTTTATAACGCAAATAGCACAACCGCTCGGATCTACTACTACTATACGAGAAATCGGTAAAAACGAAAATCGTTTATTACTTTTCGATTCGGATGTTTTTCGATTCGGTTGAAACGTAAACTCGATCGAGACGAGCTGATGGCCAATGAATAGTTACTCAAGTCAAGAGTTACCTATACATATATATATATATACTCGAGGAAAGTTGGCGTTGTTTGGTCTTAACAAACCAGTTCGCATCGCGCGCGTGCCCCCCCCCCCCGGTCTCTCAAGTACCTGCAACGACATCTTTTTTTTTTGTTACCCAGCAGGATTCTT